TTTGGCCAAGTCAGCAGGACTCCAAATTTTAAGCAGTGTACATCCTCCTTAACACTTAGGAGCTCAAGAGATGATTCATCACCAACAAAGTCTCCAAATGATATAATAAACCTTTCTGTGAATAAGCCTATGGGTGAAACATGTGAGTGGTTGTAGCTGGTTGGGGGTGTGCAGTGCTGTTATTTGTTGCTTTATACACTTTTATTCACTGTTATACTGGATTTGCTGTGAATTGCAATAAAGTCTGAAGTATTGGAATTCTCTGGATAGTGTGTTCTGTTCGTATACTACTGCATTCCAAAGTGGAGATGCACCTATTAGACCAGCACCTGGGGAGTCCTGATGGCGGCTAAGGAATTGGAGTGGTGAGATTTCCTTTGGCTAAACCTTTCTGTGGTTTATGTTTCATGCACATCTAGCAAAAAAACTGAAAATTCTATTGTGTGATAACTGGCCCTATACTCTAAACGATGGCACTTGCAGTTCAAAGCTCAGGAAACACACAGAGGTGTTATGACTTCACTTCAAACCTGCCCTGTATTTAACAAGTACTTGTAACCGGCTAAAGCAAAATCCTAACATACCTTTCTGGTAACACGTCTATGATTGACGGCTACCCTACATACCAATGTCACTGCGTCTTGTCATCTTACTGCTGCATGTGACTTGACCTCCCCTCATTATTAGCTTGTCACGAATATTCTTCTTCTTTGAAGAGTAGAGAATCCTTCATTAAAACTCTAGATTTTAGCATGTCATGAGTTTTGTTTTGTTTTTTTATTAACATTTTGCATTTTGCAAATGTTAAGGGGGTTATTCACGGAAGGGTGAAGAGTCTGGAGAAGACAGGAGAAGTGAACAATCTAGAACAACATAGCTGAACTGGAAAGTGAGCTGAATGGAAGAATGTTTCCAAATCAGTTATGTTGTCCTAGATTGTTCACTTCTCCTGTCTTCTCCAAACTCTCCACCCTTTAGTGACTAACCCCCTAAGTTTTCATGGTACCTCATGTCTTTGCAGGATCTGGTATTTACATCCATATATACAGGTGAAACTCGAATAATTAGAATATCGTGCAAAAGTAATTGCAGTAAGTGCTGCAAAAGGGGCCCAAACCAAGTACTGAGTACATATGCATGCTTGTACTTTTCAGAGGTCCGATATTGTTCTATGTACAATCCTTGTTTTATTGATTGCATGTAATAATCTACTTTTTTGAGGTTGTGGATTTGGGGTTCTTGGGGTTTTCATGAGCTGTAAGCCATAATCATCACAATTATGACAAATCACGGCTTGAATTATCTTGCTTTGCATGTAATGAGTCTATCTCATATATTAGTTTTACCTTTAAGTTGCATTAGTGAAATAAATGAACTTTGCACGATATTCTAATTATTCGAGTTTCACCTGTATATATCAGTATTACACTCTGACTGAACAGAAACAGTCAAAATGTCTCATGAGTTTACCAATTTCCTATTAACCTGATCTCAGATTCAGACAAATTCAAATGTGTCCCTGTCCAGGCTGGTGCAGTGTTCTCCAGTGTCCTCTGACACCATCACACATGCAACAGACCCTGCCACTGGAAAAAATGGTCATGCAATTGGGCTTAGAATGACACTTTTGTTTCAAAGGTGTAGTTACACTTTAAAATGAATGATATTGTTTTTAATATATATGATTTTTTTTAGGGAAATATTAAATTGCATAAAAATATTTGATATTTCAATTTTGAGACAAGTTCAGATACTATAAGCTCCTTATCACACTCCTTTGTTGAAAAATGCCTATTGTTTACACAACTTAGTTGCTCAAGCTGAAATGTACACACACATAGTGAATGAGAGCAATGACTCATCACTTATCAAGTGGGTTCATTCAAGATTTCAATCAGACAAAGCCAGCCTCAAAAGAGGCAGCATTTGCTGTGATGTTTCCTTAGCTAACCCGTGTGCTCTTTGTTATATATGAAATGTTTATTTGTAAACAAAGATTGTGATTGGAATTCATCCCAAATTTTGGATGATGTTAAATTTGGGCTGAATTTCAGAGATTCAGATGGCCAAATCCAAGTCCAAATTACAAGGACTGAACTCGACGGACCTTTTTCAACCTGACTAACTATGTATCTATGTAAGGTTATTTTCAGTAATGGGGATTTCCAAAAAGGCTTCTGGGAGACAGGGACCAAAGGATGATTTATATCTGCTTCTTCTGTTTCCTGGCTACCCTTAGCCTGACTCTCAGTGCCACCATGTCCATCCCTTCTATCTTAGTATCCCTGGTAGATTTTGATAGGAAGTAGCTAAGGCTGTTTTTTGCCCCTCTCATCTCATCAATGGACCTTTCTGTTCCGACATTATGAAAATTTAGGCGAAAAACAACTGATCAAACATTTCAGAAGTTAATTCATCTTTAATTGTGATATACTGTATATCGTAAATACATAAAGAAAGACTTGGATCTTGTCAAGATTGTCAAGAGGCCAATGTATATAAAATGGTGCAAAACGTAGGGGAATTATGGAATTAAAAGTGAACCGTATCACTCGCAATTTTGCAAGAAGAAGCGACTTGTTTAATTATACCGTATTTGATAGCATTTATTATTTCCAATGTTTATCTTTTTGTAGCTTGCCCGGGGACCCTACCCAAAGTGTTCTATTGTTTATGTACTTCAATAAAACTTTTGAATGGTGTGTTTTTCTGAAGAGGTGCTGTGAGTGAATGAAGTGGTTTTACACCGTGGTATGTTTCAGCTTCCATGTGTACAGAGGTGATGTCACAGTTCAGTGCGGAGTAAGGGGAAGGGGGTGCAGTGTTTCCTTGTATCACATGTTCCAGGCACAGCCTCCGCTTTCATTCCTTTAGAAAGTGGAATCTTAGGAGGGGTTTCCGATTCTCTCCTGGCTTTTCACTGAACAGGAAGCTTCTCCCCTGACCATCGCTGACACACGCTCCATCTGCCAAGCCTTAACCACATTTCATCACTCGCCTATTGTATTACATCCTGAGCCAGCGGAGAAACCACTGAACCAGACCGTGTCGAGGTTCTGTTCTCCCTAAATAACCGGGCCTGTAACATAAGACATCAACAAAGAAGCTTCCTTATCTGCAGCAGGCCAAGGAACACAATGAATGGAGGGCTCATATCCTGCAATGTTCTGTTTTTACTTTTCAGTGATGTTTACGAGAATTACTTTCGCTCCGCTTTGATCTAGTTTGTCTGATGGTATTGCCGAAAACAGGCCGGATAAGAGGCACTAGGCTGCCAGGTTTAAAAGACAGCTTTAGAAAGTTTTTTTTAGACCTTGCTCGGTTTACCTCTTTTATTGTCATGAAGCTGATGACACTGCATGTATGGAAGCTGAAACTATTTGTAAAGTGAACCTGTACTTTGCTAATGCAGGATAAAACAACGGGTCCACTAAACTGCCACCATTCCAGCTGGTTAAACACTCTATGGACAAACACATGTGCACTTCCAACCTTAAAACAACAGCTTGGTGAAGACCCTTTTTCTTGTCCATCATGAATGTCCCCCTGTGTACAATGCCAGCTAAATAAAGTTTAATGAGCTTGATGTGATGGAACTCAAGCGGCCTCAACCCTGCTGGGATGGGATTTGGCATGTGCACCTCAATGTACAATCTTGGCAAGCCTTAGTGTTGGGTGAATTATCTCCCGTTCTTATGCATGCCAATTAAGATGGTCGCAAACACAGAACCCAGAAGAAGACTGGGAAAGGATGTCAGTGGTGGTGTTCTATCAAAGTTTGTGATTAGGTTGGAATGTGTGACCGGTCACATGATCACACATTTTAACGTAATCCCGCCCAGTTTTTCGGCGGTGGAATGTGTGACCACCCATTAGGTCAAGCATTCCAACGCTTTCTCAGCTGTTCCAGGGCAGATCGATATCGCAGATTGTATGTGCAGGAGAACCGATCTGCCCTGGAACAGCTGATCGGTCCTGAAATGTCACTTCTATCTGACTTTGTGGAATGTGAGATTGCACTCACCGAGTCGGATAGAAGTGACATTTCAGGACCGATCAGCTTTTCCAGGGCAGATCGGTTCTCCTGCACATGCGATCTGTGATGCCGATCTGCCCTGGAACAGCTGACAAAGCGTTGGAATGCTTCACCTATTGGTGGTCACATATTTTACCGCTGAAAAACTGGCCGGGATTATGTTAAAATGTGCGACCATGTGACTGGTCATACTTCCACCGCGGTAAAACTGGGTGGGATTACATTAAAATGTGTGACCGCGTCACCGGTCACACATTCTAACGTAGTCACATACTTTGATAAAACAGTGGCAAGGGAGTTCAAGGACATCCCAGCTCTGGAGTGGAGCTGATGCTTTCCCATATGTCTGAACCAAATATACACAATTGCTTATTGAAGCACTTAGGGCCCATTCACATCTATGCAATGCTGAAATGCAATGTGCGTTAGGAGCTCACTGGATTTCTAACAGATTAACAGGTATTTTTCTGTACTTTGTAAAGCAACAAGCTGAGGAAATGTGCATGTAGTGCAGAGATGTACTAAATGTGTTTCTTTTTATTTTGCCCAGACATACAATTTAATGTCCTCTGATAACGCTGCCGGTGTGTTACATTTTCCTGGTATCGGTATATAGGAAGAGAAAATTGCCTGATTGGGGCTCTCACCTCGTAGGAGTTCTTGTTTGCCTTGTATTTGTCTAATGGATGCATCTGGTTCTTGTGGCACACATTGTCGTTAATGTCAGGTTTCTGCCATGAAAGGAAACAGATGTTAATTACAGAGCGCAGCACATTCTGCAGTAAAAGCAGATAACAGAGCAGTGTGATTGTGATAATCCAATTAATCCGCACTAAATCCTCTAGCCCCACAGCCAGCACAGCAAACATGGCACAGATAATAAAGGCTAATAATTACAGAGTTAAACTCACCCTCGTGGTGATTAAGTAGCGCTCCAACTTTCTGTTCAGCAAGAAGTAGACGCCAAGAGTATGACAAGCCCGATTGGATAGAATGACGTTGATGACATCACTGTGCTTGTAACCGAGCTTCTCTGACATGTGACGGATGACGCTTTGGCTCAGATCTTCCAGGTGGATTCTAAACAGCAGGAAATAATCATAATTATTGATTTTATTCCTCGATAAAGAACTGATATATTCCGCAGTGATCGGTAAAGTACAAACAAGTCAGTTTTAAATCTGGCAAACAGCTGCCAAGGATTTGTATTTCCATCCCGTGAGATTTACACAGCTCGGCCATACAGCAGATACTTGTCTGGAAGGACAGGAGACCTGAATTTTCTCTACTCCAGTTAGGTTTATTTTTAGCCAAAATATTTTTTGGCCCTGAGTAGAGTAGGAAAGGTTTAAACCCCCTGTAAGCTTATGTTTTGCCCCATTGGGGAGATTTTACTCTAGTTCCTGTCCTGGAGATGCATCAGGAAGTGAGAGTTAATCTCTACAAAGCGTGGAAAGTTCTCCTCACAGGTAATATCCCCACTGATATTATTTTAAGATTGATAAGATTCATTCTCACCCCTTGTTCCGGTGACAACTCTAACATTCTGGATTTCCCACTACTTTCTGCCTTGGTGACAATAAAGCCCAGGGTAAATAGAGGGTTCAAATCTCTCTCTGCTCATATGAGCACTTCAGCACTACTGAGTAGTAGAGCTCTGCCCTAAACTGTGTCTATTTTGTCCGCCTGGAATTCAGCTATAACCGTTAGGAAGACTCATCTCTTCAGGGAAGCCTATCCCACCTCAACCTAACCACTCAACCATCCCGTTCTCAAACAATTCATCCCCACACAGCTACCTCCTCGTGTATCACTTCCCCCTTCCTTTTAGATTGTAAGCCCTCAGGGGCAGAGCCCTCCTTACCATCTTATCTTGAATTGTATTGTGATTGTAATGTCTTCCTTATATTGTATAGCGATGCACAAACTGTTGGTGCTCTATAAATCCTGTATAATAATAATTTAGGAAGGCCATGGCTCCCAACTAGTCAAATAGCCCCATTTTCTATCAAAATCTCTCTGTTCTTCTCTCCTTCACAACGTCCCTCTTTTACATTTGATCTATAGGTCTGTATAGTTAATGTACCCTTTTAACTGCCAAAGTTTTTATTTTCATGTTGCTGAAAAGAGAACCTTTTAAAGGGTTTCAACGGTGGCTATCTGCTTGGTTGGGGCTGTTCTTTAGGTTTTGTCACAAGGGCTCAAGTTTAACAAAAGACAGGAGTGTCAATAATTCATTCCCCTGTATGATGTTTAATTACCACCCTAAAGGCATTCTCTTCCTTACCCGACCTACTGATCTCATCACCGTAATGTTCTCCTAAATACGGATTCCAACCCGCCCTGTAATGTACACTTGATATTCTATACTACCTCTCCGTGGGACAAGAACTCTATGATATTTCTCAGGAGTGTATGGCTGCCCTCCTTGAAACTAGTGCTGGGGATATACGGTCATATACATTTCTTGGAATGGTCAACTAACCTCAGTAAGTGAACAATATTATGAATATTTACTTGCTCTAGAAAAAGTCTAAGGCTGGCTATAGATGTTAGAGAATGGTCAATATATATTATATGATCCCACCGTCTCATGATGCCTTCTGGGCCAGTGTCGCCCTTAAACAAGATAAGGACATGCCCTTAGCATGCTTATGGGAGATAAAGAATAAATCTGTTCTCTCTCCAGTGTTCTCTCTTCCTATCAGCACGGTCCATGCATTGCAGCACACCTCATTGGCACTTTATGCTGCTTCTTCCTCCCCCTCTCTGAGTGCTGCTGTACAGATTGTACAGTAGACTGCAAGAGACTGATACTAAGTCACATTCAGGTACTTACACTGCTTGCATGAAAAAGAAAACAAAATTTAAAGCAGTACAGTGGTACCTCAGTTCACGAACGCTTCTGTTCATGAACAATTCGGTTCGCGAACAGGAAGTTCGGCAAAATGTTGCTTCTGTTCGCGAACTCCGCATCAAGTGACGAACACGACCGCGGCCATCTTCCACACATGGTCGTGGCTTCCTCTACTCGAGATCTCGGTCTGATCTAAGTTTGATTCGGTTTGCGACCAGAATCGTGGAACGAATTAAGTTCGTGAACCGAGGTACTACTGTATTTATCGTTACAAAGTTGCATTGATTTGTGCCTTTTATATCTGCCTGGAGTTTAGGTTTAAACATATGATTTTACACTTAACGAGGGGTAATGGGGCAGGACTGGGACAGCCCCGACGCTGGGGGAAAACATAAACATCAGGCAAGGTTTTCCACATTGTTTGATTGTTTTGCTCTCTAGAAATGCTCATTCACAGCTGTTGGGAGACTGACGGAGAACACAATTTAATGCCTATCCTTACCTTTAGAGGCACAAAGGGCCCCTGCAAATATAATGTAGCAGTTAGAAAGGTGGTAGACCTTCCCTGGATTTTCCTTTCAAAAGACATTAAATAAATCATCTTTGATTGACTGGACTGCCGCAGGTGAGCTCTCCCAGCTGCTAATTCTTACTCTTATGTTTATATGTAAATAGGAGAATTGCATAGGGTGATGACAGCCTGTATTACAGTAGGGCAGGGCTGGGCGGGGGATTGCTTGTTTATACTGTCTCATAAAAAAGGATATTTAGGCTGTGAAATTTGTCTGGGAACTTCAACTTCTACAGCTGCATATAATGAACGCTGTTATTGTTCGACTTTCTGAGTCCTACTTACCGTCTCAATGGCTGCATCCAAAATACCGTACTCGATTAGATTTATTGCACGTGTATTAAAGTGTTGTTAAGGTAAGCTATAGTGCTTTCCGGTCACTGGCTTGAGACACCTTCTGGCCACCAATGCCTGGACACAACTGATTAGGTGAGTTACAAGGTGAGCTGTCAAAGCATTCCAGATCCCCAGCCCGTTGATACCACCCACATGACCCATCACATTATCCGTGTACAGGTAATGGAGCCATGGGGGAGCCAGGAGCAGCTACCAGGTAAGTATAAAACTATTTTATTGCAGGACATAGGGGGATGGGGGATACCAACACAGTTTAGGTCTTTAGCAATCCATGTTTGAACAGTAACTCTATCTGCACAGGCAAGCATCGTTAGTGCTCTGTTGTCACTGCCTGATTGTGAAGTGATCATGTGTCACCTGTGTTAATTGATAAGACAAAGTTCTTTTTGTTTAACTGTCAACAATCAGATAAACAGATTATAGTCACTAATGTCTCAGCCTGAGCAGCCTCAATGTATTAGAAAGTCCCTTCACAACCTGTTAAAAACCAGCAAGTTTTGAGTAATCTTTGCCAGGTTGTGTAACGAGTGGAAGCGATTAGTTATTGATCACAAAGGAGCTTACTAATATGCTGGAAACCGGTTTATGCATTAATAAACTCTTTTTGTGAATGCTGCATTGCATTCAGGCATTGGCAGAGACAATTGTACGTAGCAGGTCAAGCCAGCACACCACTCCTTGGACCTCTCAATGTTCTTGGTGCAGTCCACTCTTGAAGTACAATGGGGCAACTCAAAAATACCATTAGGTAGGAGATTGAAGTAAAGCTAGGAATACATGGCTCAAATGTCTGCCGAATTGGCTGAAATCTGAGACCTGGGTGGCCCTGTCAGCACCATCTGGCTCAACAAAAGTTGATTTAAAAGAGAACTATTTGGTAAATGTTTTCCCCCATAGTTCTCTTAAGGGTCACGGGAGGACATATATTAGCATCCTCCCGTGACCCAAAGCTCAATATATCGCAAGCTACAGCTCGCGGTGTACTGAGACCGCTGCAGCCTGGACGGATGACGACAATGCTGTTGAGATCCACCCAGGTGGCTGATATACAGTGGGCTCTGCCTATCTAGAGGCAGAGCCAGCTGTACCTGCCCCGTCTGTTCCTCCAGTCAGCGCTGGAGGATCGGAGCGGGGAGGGGGAAATCCCTGTGGGGACTGACAGTCACCGCTCTCTGCAGGGAGATGATCGAGAAGTGAGCGAACGACGGTATGTGTTCGCTCACTTCCCGATCTATTGAGCCGACTTGTGTCAGTTTCATTGTCACACGGCGGTTCCAACTATGAGGATGAGTGATTTTCACTTACCTCATAGTTCACCTCTAAACATTGACTGACCCAAGTAAAAAAAAAAACCTCGGCTGAACAGTGACTGCACCCTATCACATGCTGCGACTGTCTGAATACAACAGTCAGCACTGGAGCTTACTTCATCCATGCTGTTCGCAATGGAGGGGGGAACTGAGTGATTGTCGCTCATCCAGCCTGCGGGCTGATGAGAGAAAATCTATACGTGTACAGCCAGCTTTGGAGTAGACAGATCTGAAGTCTTAGCAGTTGTTGCTTCACATTATCCCTTGAAGCCCCTAACATTACTGAACACACACTGGCTGTAGATATCTCCACAGCAGACACTATTGATTAAGCCTCTGGAAATACTGACTGATAGTGTGTTCTCCTGTGACCTCACAATCTGTGTTATAGCAAAAGTGTGTGTACTATAAGAATCCCAATATAGTAAAATAAACCATCGCACAATATAAAACACTAACAATCTGTCTCGGGAGCACCGAAGGAGTTGCTGTACCCACCTGTTTGGGTAAGTGCATGTTTGCAAGGCCTTGCCCTGATAGTTGTCATTGAGCCAGCGGTTGCCCAGTGCTTGTTGGATATTGGGCCTTTTCAATGGATCCGGCTCCAGCAACAAGCGCAGGAAACTAACAGCAGCTGAAGAAGAAGAATAAAGTGGAATATAATACTTGCAAAATAAAATATTTTAAATGTTTGCAATCGAATTATCTCACAATGCAGAACAGTGAAATGACATTATTGTTTAGCCAGCGGACTCTTACAAGTGAGGGATTAAGCCTGTAAGAGGCACGGTGAATGAGATTTAGCTGAAAAGGTTTATTATGATTACAACTATTACCTTTTATTTATGTCGCTTCCTCCTATTCCCGACTCTTTATAGTAAGTGGTACAGTAAACACACGCACCTTGTTAACAATACAAAGCCCAGAGGTATACATCCTCTGCTCGATAGTACTAAAGTACTAAAACCTACATGCCGCAATCCAAGAGGCCCTTTCACAAAATGCACAAGCACGCTGTGGGCGTTGTCTGACAAAGCAGAGAACTCGGAGGATAATTTCCTTTTACACACCACCAGCATGTGCAGTAATAATGATGGCGGGGCAAGCTGGCTACAATCACTGCAATGGCACGTGTCTGCTTGTGTATGGTTTCTAACATGTGGCACTACTCACCGGGAGAGAGGTGGGAAGGGAGCGGATTCATGGTTTTGTCCACCATCTTCTGATACAAAGCTCTCAGGCTAAACGGCTCCACCGTGAATGGCAGTGTGCCCGTCAGCATGGCATACATGTTCACACCACTTAAAAAAATAACATTGTGAAGATAGTGGTTAGTGCTGGGCAACAACGTAAGAATGTCTGCAGCAAATGATCCATTATACATAGGCTCTAAATCACCAGACTTAAGACAGAACTCCAGCCAAAACTAACATGATTAAAGTTGAATAGCCCATAAAAGATAAATAACAAAACCAACTTTTTCTAAAAAAAATCTACTTTTCTAACACTAGATGCCTGATGGGCAGCACCATTTAACTGGCTTTCTCTGAGCCCTGGTCATCCCGGACATGCCCCCAGCCTGTGAATGGACAGTAAAAGGAGAAGCAGCGCAGTGACTCCTCTATATCACCCTCCAATCAGCACATGAACTTACTGGCACCTGAACTGCTTCTTCCTCTCAAGCTCCAGCTCTGCTGTACATGGACTGCAAGGAGCTGATTGCAGGTCAAATTTAGGTATTTACACTGCTTGCATTTAATTGCAATGCAAAAAATACATTTAATGGTGTGTTCATGATTACAGAGCTTCATTAAATGTAGTCTCTTTTACAGTATATCTGCCTAGAGTTCAGCTTTAGAGCAGCATTTAAGGAATGCTTAAGTGGCCTCTTAGTCAATATTATCATATGTATTTTAGCCGTGCCTTAAGAGTTATTTAGAACATTTTAAGTGCTGCTAAAGGTTGATGAATTAGGGCCATGGGGTTTTAACCCTCTCTGGTCATGTGTCCTTCCTCCTAACCATACAGACAACTGTATTACAAGAAACCTTTGCAAAGTGTACATAAATACTGCATGCCATTGCTCTACGAAGACTGTTATAATCTGATCTGCACAGAAAGTTCCAACTAGTAGTATCCATATTGGAATATAAAAGGTGAATATTCCCACAAACCAGGGCTGGACAAACTCCAGGAGCCAGGTAGCAAATGCTCCTTAAAGGAGAACTGTGGGGTTAAGGCTTTTCCCCATAGTTCTCCTTAGGGTAACGGGAGGACACAAACTAGCGTCCTCCCGTCACCCTAAGCTCAGTATACCGCGATCTGCTGCTCAGGGTGTACTGAGACGCCGCAGCTGAAGCGGATCACAACAATTATGCCGGGATCCGCCCAGCTGCGTGACTGACAGCTGGCTCTGCCTACATAGAGGCAGAGCCAGCTGTATCTGCCCCCTCCCCCATCCGTTCCGCCAGTCAGTGCTGGCGGATCGGAGCGGGGAGGTGGGAATCCAGCCCCTCCCCTGTCACGGCAGAGAGCCGTGACAGGATCGAGAGGTGAGCGAACGCCGGTATGTGTTCGCTCACTTCCCGATCTACTGAGCCGACCTGTGACAGTCTCATTGTCACAGGTCGGCTAGAACTATGAGGTGAGTGAAAAGCACTCACCTCATAGTTCTCCTTTAAAAATGATAGCTGGTGCCTAACTTGTCCACCCCTGCCTCAAACTGATATTTTAGTTATGGAAGGCACTCATGAGCTGAATCACTAGATGGCTGCTATATATGTGTTGAGACTGTGATGGTTACATTTCCTTGCTGGAATGGCCATCTTCCAACACAGCCATTGCAAAAGCCATGCAAGGAAGTCTCACTTTGTCTTCTAAAAACGAAAGTGATGAGCGAGACCTTTTCATAATGGCTGCAGAGAGTGAATATGTCTGGGAGATTTCACCACTGCAGACCCCAACAAAGTCTGTTGCAGGTAGAAAAAGTTGTTAGTATTTTATCTAGCAATTACCACTTGGTGCCAACTGTTTTCACATCTCCTAAATACATGCAGTGTAAAGTGAGAGTTTCAGACATTCTTCTTTCCTCCATGCGGTTACCATGGTAACCTGCCAGCCTGAGCCATGCTCTTGGGAGGCAACCGTTAAGAGCTACTAGACGCATATTTTAAATGGTCATATCAACGAATGTTAAATGGCAGTAATATAGCAAAGATTACGGAGGCGGTTTCGGGTCTTCCACAGACCATTAACCCGGGACTCAGATGTTTTCTATGTATTTCATATTGTAATATATACTGTGTATATATATATATATATACTGTATATATATATATATTTTAGGGATGCACCGATATCGATACTAGTATCATTGCAGATGCCGAGTATTTGGACGAGTACTCGTACTTTCCCAAATGCTCCGATGCCTGACCCGATACTTCCGGTATCAGTAAGTCACAAGTGACGAGGGAGCATGGAGCCGGCTTTCCGGCCAATCAGGAAGCCGGGCAGCGTGTAATGACTCGCTACCCGGTTACCTGATTGGTTGGGAGGTGACCAATCAGGAAGCCGGACACCGTGTAATGACGCGGCGCCCGGCTTTCTGATAGGCCGGGAAGCCGGCTTCATGCTTCCTCGTCACCTCATGACGAGGGAGCACGGAGCCGGCTTCCCGGTCATTACGCAGTGCCCGGCTTCCTGATTGACCAGAAAGCTGGCTCCATGCTTTTCCGTCACCTAGTGACAAGAAACATGGGGACGGTTTCCGGGCCAATCAGGAAGCCAGGTGGCGAGTCATTACACGCCGCCTGGCTTCCTTAATAGGACTTTCGGTATCGGCGAGTACCAAAGAAAAAATATCGGTACTGGTCCTCGATACCGAAAAACTGGCATTGGTGCATCCCTAATATATATATACTGTATGATAATAATCAGTAAATGAAGGATTTAAGCCCTATTGAACTTTTAGCTTACCGTAAATCAGCTAAATTAATTTCAGGTGCATCAAAACAGTGTTATGTTGGTTTTATCTAGAGCTTGCGCAGAGAAGGGCTCTTGCTCTCTGTGTGGAAGCAGTAGTCTCTCTGCAGAGGTCTGACACACACACACACACACACAGACCTATAGCTCTGCAATTAGCAAGGTTAATGCTCACTGCTGATTTGAAAGCTGACTCAACAGAGGATGTGTTGGACGTCTACAGGGACACCACTGCTTACACACAAAAAATTCAATGGTCCTTTTCTAGAGCACCCTGGCATGGGAAATACTTTTGTACTCTAGCTGTTGCTGCTTTCTAAAGAAAACTAACTATAAGACATCAGAACTCCGGAGACATGCCCTTCCCCAGCTTTCTGGGAGGAAGGGACAATTGAGCAGGCTCGTATATTCCCACACATTTGCTGTTTAAGAGACTGCTGCCAATGATATCTGCTAAATGTTCCCCCAACCTCCTCACTATGCAAAGTCGCCCGATTTAAACATATGTTTGTCAAGATCTTTCAACAGAAGGATTGTTGGACATCTTGCTTGAGTTGGCTGTCTAATTATTAAAGGCTGAAGGTAGCTTTACATAAGCGTACCACTCGGCACCATTTGCTTGAGCAAACCCCAGAGCCCCTGCTTGTTTATTGCTGGGATGACTTACTCATTAGAACCCCTGTGCTTTGCACGTCATAATGGAGTGCAAACTTTTGGCGAAGGACATCTGCACATGCAAAAGGTCAACAGCTCTGGCTCAAGACTGTTTATCTGGCTGAAGACTGTTTATCAACATTCCTGTCTCACTATGTCTGTCTGGGCCTTATGGGAATGACCATATAAGCAAGGTGTCTAAGCCTTGTGCTATGATATAAGGTGTCTATCCTTATCTGTTCCCATAGCAGGAACAGCCTGAGCAAATCCTGGAAGCCAGAATGTGTTTAAGTCAAGGGCGTAACTATTGCCATTGCTCTTTGGGCCAAATCACACATTGGCTTCATATGCCTTAGGCCTGGTTCACACCTGGGCGTTTTACAGCGCTGATCGACGCGCTGTAAAACGCCCAGCAAGTGAAATCCCATTATTTCCTATGGGCATGGTTCCCACCTGGGCGTATTTCACCGCGTAGCAACCCAGCGCGTAGCAACCCGAAGTACAGGAGCTTCTTTGGGGCATATTTTCCGTGCGTATCCATTAGGATACAGCTGGATAGCCCTCGTAAACGCGCGTTTGTCGCGCGTTTCGTTGACCGCAAATCTCTGTAAAAGCGCACGGCCCGAAAAGCACGTCAAACGCGCATATTACAAACGCCCAAGTGTGAACCCAGCCTTACGTGCCAATGGCCATCCCATCACCTATCCTCAAACATATAGTGCCGTCTCGCTCTCCTTGCTGCAGCAGTAGGAGTCTTTATCTTCTTGTCACATTCTGAATAGTGCAAAACAAATTAAAATTAAATTAAAAATGAAACTACCTCCTACTATTTCATGTAAATAGTTGGAGCTGGGTCCCCCAAGAGATGTAAGAAGCTGGGTCCCTCAAGTGATACAAGAAGCTGGGTGCCTCAAGAGATACAAGAAGTTGGGTCCCCCAAAGAGCTACAGGAAGCTTGGCTCCTCAAGAGATACAAGAAGCTGGGTACCCCCAAGAGATACAAGAAGCTGGGTACCCCCAAGAGATACAAGAAGCTGAGTACCCCCAAGAGTATATTTTCATATAAAGCGGAGAAAAAATACTTACATAGACCAGACATCCACTTTGGGCCCATATTTTTTCCTTGCAAGGAGTTCCGGGGCAGCGTAGGCTGGGCTGCCGCACTGTGTGCTGAACGGGTCGGTGTAGCCCAAGATTCCGGCACAGTTGCTCAGACCAAAATCTACAAAGAGAGATCCTCATTTTACAATTGGTTAACACATTTAAATGGGTTTTAAAGCAAACCTGTCAGATATTTTGAACTGTGTTTGGACAGATGGGGCAGTTAGCAGGGCTTAGCCCTTATGTCAGTTCTCTGGTAACAAAGTAAAACCAAAGAGGTGCACAGAGGAGGATTTTCTGGCAAATGAAGATAATAGCAATCACCTTGTAGTGTCTGTTTTTAGGCCAGATTTTCGCTTTTTAAACATTTTAAAATGTCTGTGCTGCTACTACAACCAATGAGACAGTATTGCTGGAATGGATAAAGAGTAAAAGAAGGCAATTACTTCTCTTGGTGGAAATGCTGCTCCAAGGCTCGCTTCAGTGCCGGCCACATGGCTAAAAGCTTGTATCAACGGCCACATTTTCTTTCCCTAAAGCTGGCCATACACCTATAGATTATATCTGCAGGTTTTCTATGGTCAGATGGAAAAAGTGCAACAGATTCCTCCATCTGCGCTAAACTGTGTGGATGGAGGAATCTCCCACTGGGCCAAGCTTCAGTATCTTGCTAGTCGGCCCCGCTGACTATTAAAATATCTGAACAATCTGACTGGACACAGGCACTGTTCCGGTATTTTATTTTAAGAGCCAGCGGGGCCGACTAGCAAGATACTGAAGCTTGGCCTAATGGGAGATTCCTCCATCTGCACAGTTTAGCGTAGGTGGAGGAATCTGTTGCACTTTTTCCATCTGACCATAGAAAATCATCTGCAGATAATCTATAGGTGTAGGGCCAGCATTAGGGAAAGATCAGCCAATCAGAAATCTGATTCCACATTTCCGAAGAGATCACATGTCCAAGTGCCTAGACCTTAGGTTAGGTGAGCAGCAGAAGATGGCCAGCTTGGGCAGCATTTCTTACCGGAAAAGTATTTGAGCCCTTTTTATTCCTTATTATTTTCCACTATCAGAAAAAGTAAAATATGCTTCATGACAACATTTGAGTATGAACCGCTTTTAGGAATCAGTCCAGCAAAATCTTACTACTTGGTATCACCAAAGGATGCAAGAACTTGGTGGGCGTTTTAACCAGTACCATCAGGACACCAAAATATCCGTTTTGTTTGAATTGATCCGTTAAATATTCTGTGCTCCTCTGTGCAGACAATGGACTCTATTCAACTTATGTCAATGGTTTTTTGCACCAAAACAATCACAAGGGTAATTACAGGACTGCAGAGTCAGCAGTTGATATTTGGCACTGAGGAAGGAGACGGGAAGTAGGACACAACAGGGGCAGAACAAACCCTATTGAGGCGACATGGTCTGCCGCATTTGTAATCTTCGCCTGGCCACAGTGAGTGTAAACTAAGGAATACAATGCTAATGAGGAGCTCATTAAAGAATTTGCATACCGATGAGCTTGATGTTGTTGTTCTCATCCAGTAACAGATTTTCAATCTTCAAATCTCTGCGGGAAAGACAACAATTAACGAGGGTGAGAAGCACTGATCCCAAACAAGTTTATGCAACAAAGATTACAAGTAATGATTGAGGCAACAGAAGTCTTAATTGGTTAATGAGAGCAGTAAGTAGTCATAATTAGTTCTGCAAAAGAAGTTAAAGAACTCCAAAAATAACTGATTTTCCAATCAGTACAATGTGGTCATGGTCTATACTTAAAATTATGTTACGATTTATAATAATATTGGCTTTTTTATAGTCTGTGTAGTTATTGCGCTGCCATTATGAGTGGATCCGACTTCTACATGAAGTGCATTCCGGCCCGATTTTGGCCAGAGCGCACTGCCTCGCATTGTGGTACGGTTCTGTGCGGTGCGTTTAAAATGCTACAAGCACTGTTTTGATCGCATCGCACAGAACCGGACCGCAGGCACAATGTGCCTTGCGATCCCATGCGGCGGATCGCATTGCGGCTGGAGGGCGTGGCTAAGGCGCCATTCGCTTGAATGGCCCACCACGCCCCCTTCTGCCCCACTAAAAAGTGAGCCGGCCGCAATGCGAGGCAGTTCATACTGGGCAAAATCGGGCCGGAACGCACTGCATGTAGTGTGACTGAGCCCTTCCTGCTGGATTTTATATATACAGAAGACAGATTGGGGTGTACAGGGACCCACGGACATAACATGACAATTGCTTGTGGTGGTTCTTGTTGAGTTCCGGAGTTGACAAGCAGATCAAGCCTTACAAGGTCTCACAGGGTTATTCACAGAAGGATGAAGAGTTTGGAGAAGGCCAGAGAAGGGAACAATCTAGGACAACATAACTGAACTGGAAACATTCTCCAATTCAGCTCACTTTCCAGTTCAGATATGTTGTCCTAGATTGTTCACTTCTCCAAACTCTTCCCCCTTTTGTGAATAACCCTGTAAATGTCCTCTAGTACCTGTGGGCATCTTTGGCCTCCAGAAGTTTCAGAAAAGTAGAGGTTGCTCAATGTGTGCACTGGGGTGATTCAATTGATGGGCTTCCATCAAAAACATAAATATTCATTTTGTGTGGACTGAACCATTAAGTCCAATAAGTGGACAGAGACTGATACTCCTCCCATGCTCGCCTTCAGGACTTCACTAGAGTCTCTCCCATCCTCTGGAACTCTCTACCACAACCTGTCCGTCTGTCTCCCACACTGACTGACTTTAGGCGATCCCTAAAGACTCATCTCTTCAGGGAAGCCTATCCCACCTCTAACTAACCATTCAACCATCACATTCTCAAAAAGTCCATCCCCACACAGCTACCTCCTCATGTACCACTTGCCCCTCCAGTCAGTCATGGCACAGCTATGGGCCAGACATACGAACTCAACTGGGGAACCTTTCAACACAGAACTCAGTCACTAAAAAGAATTAAAATAACCAATTTTGGTGAAAGATCGTTTTTAATGCTGGAGCAGATGGGTGATTTCTAGTATCTCAATCCCACTATAGTGATCGATCACTACACAGAATGAACAAATGGCTCACTTTGCTGTGAGCTACACAAGTAGAATGCAGCAGTGACTGTTTGCTCACATTTGGTACATTGTACAATCATGTAAGGATAATTGCGACAGCCTGCTACTTGTGTAGCCTGCACCATTGGGATCTATTAGTCTCATCTATGCTGCAACCCATTGCTACTCTTAAAGCAACTCTGTCTATACAACATAAACTGGGGCAGAATATACACATTCAGCGCTTCTGGGAGTGTTGGATGCTTGCCCCCTCCCACATTCTATGGTTCCATCTGCTGGATCTTACGTCGCTACTGTGTCCTGTATTGAAATAGGGGCTGGCAGGTGAGACCACAGCCTGCAGTGGGGGACCGGGCATGTGAAGATATTGCCGGAGACTGCAGCTCTGTGAGGCAGAGAATTGTAAAAACTTCCCGCAAGAAAGGTGAGTGTATTACCAGTCCTCTTTTGCAGTTATTTTTGGACTTTGATTTTTGGTGCAGTCTCTTTAATGATAAATCGCTAGTAGCGTGACAGAGTTACTAAATCTCACCCGTGTGCTCCTTGCACTCACCTTTTACGTGGCCAGTACATTCGGGGCCCATGTACATTTTTGCACTACGTTACCAGCCATACATTATGTTGCGCGTTAAAGGTGTGTTGCGTTGCCTATTCATTTTAATGTGCTGCCAACGCACCGAAAATCGGACGTGATCCTTTTTTGTAATGCCCTTTGAAATGAATGGGCTTCCCAAGTACCGAAAATCGGACTTGATCCTTTTTTGTAATGCCCTTTGAAATGAGAGTGCTGCCCAAGTACCAAAAATCGTATGTGATGCTTTTTTCTAATGCTCTTTGAAATTAATGGGCTGCCCAAGTTCCAGAAAATCAGATGTGATGCTTTTTTCTAATGCTCTTTGAAATGAATGGGCTGCCCAAGTACCGAAAATCGGACTTGATCCTTTTTTGTAATGCCCTTTGAAATAAATGGGCTTCCCAAGTATCGAAAATCGGACTTGATCCTTTTTTGTAATGCCCTTTGAAATGAGAGTGCTGCCCAAGTACCAAAAATCGTATGTGATGCTTTTTTCTAATGCTCTTTGAAATGAATGGGCTGCCCAAGTACCGAAAATCTGATGTGATCCTTTTTCATAACGCCCTTTAAAATGAATGAGTTGCCAACGTAACTCAACGCACCAAAAATTGAATGCTACAGGTGTTATTGGAGACTGGAAATGTACTGCAGAAAATAGTCAAGAGACCGTGGATGTGTTATGTGTGACTGCCAAAGATAACTGTCAGAACAGCCTATTAGCATGTGGCCCTCAGGCTGCCGGATGAGCACCAGTGGGTATAGTTGACAACCTGGTGGGAATTACCCCTGACAATGGTAAATTGACCCAAAGAAAGTTTCTTTCTCCAGAGCCGAGTGGATTTCTATGCCTCTCTATGGAACACTGAGCTGTTTATAGAATGTTATTTCAATGGAGCAGCTCTGACAGCAATTACAGCGCTGATAAAAATAGCGCTCATCTGCGCTCCGCTGCAAATTGAGGTGTGCGACCTTTCCTTTCGTCTCCGCCGCTTCTCCTCCAAACCAGAGATGCGTTCACAGCGACTCTAACACACGGCATTCAAAAGGTATTATTATTTCAGCAAGCCCCTTGTCTAGCGTTCTATTTATAACTCCGGAGGAGCCAGGTCTCTCCTCGTTTTGTCGTGACTTCTCCTTCCTTTCATGCCGCTGAAATCCATTTTCCCGGCAGAGATTTATGAATAATGGAATCTTCACACAAACTTGTGATCTTTCCGCTAACAATAGGCATGAGTCACCCGTTCATTCACTCGTAAAACAAACCATTTACAACTAACATCGTCCCGTGACATTTTTTTTTTTCATGCCGCTGTCGTAAACAAAATGTCCTCGTTCTCATTGAAGAGAAGTTTTTATTCCAATAAGAAATAATAACCGCGGCACAGCTATTATCTGCCACGTGTTTTAAACCTCTATTTTTATGTGCGTTGCTTTGTGAGGTCTAATAATAGAATTTACCCTTTTCAAAAGATGTTTGTTCTCGCCATAAGTCCGTTGCTAGTTAAAAGAGCTGAGGCGCACGGCTTAGTTCTGTCTGATTGACGAGGAATCATATGATAACCAGTAAGTTGTATCAACTTATGATCCTGCTGTGTGATATATAGATCATCTGTAATGAGGAATTGATAACAATCTTCTGTATTAAACTACCCGAGGACCGGACAGGGTACATCTTGGTGATGGACGATGGCAGAGAGAGGAGGGGACAGTCACCCGCCGGGTCCCCTCCTATCTCCCGAAACTGTCAGGCTCTCGGTCCATGACCGAGTGCCCGACTTTTCAGAGGGGGTGACACCAAAACGACTGTCAGTCATTTTAGTGTTACACCCTCCAATTGTGTCACCCAGGTGCGGGGCACGCCCTCCGCACCCCCCTTGTGGCGCCATTGCCAGGGGGCACAAATAAAGAAGACATACTTACCTGATCCTCGGTCCATCAGGGCTGATAGATGGGTCCCTGCAGCCTCTTATGCCCTGGGATCTAGCAGTTTATCAAACAACTCCGGGCAAACTTTTTCTTAATCTTGCAGTTGGGCTACCCCAGCACTACTAGGGTTAAGTGCTCGCTTTATGTCCGGGTGCTAAAATAACAAAGTTGTACTCACCAGATCCTCAGAGCTGACTTGCTCTTTGATCGGTTCCTGGAGCTTCTCTCCCCCTCCGCTCCAGCAATCTAAGGATCCTTGCGCCATCACGTCCAATTCGCAGTGTATTGGACATGAGGACGCCAAGGGACACGCCATCGATGCAGCAGAGGAGGCGACAGGCTTCAGTTAGCACTGTGACAGTCGGCTGATTCCGCGGTTCGGGTGAGTATAACGTTATCATTTGGTGGCTGCATTAGTTCTCTTTTTTTCCCATTTTCGTACAAGTGTGTGACATCCCTAACTTACTGTATTGTATCTATAGAGGAGCAGGGTTATTACTTAAGGAGAGGAAGTCTATTGGTCTATTGGGACTACAAAATACCCCTCAACCCTTCTCATTTCCTTAACATAGGGGGGAAGGTGTTCTGCAGTTCATAGAAGTGAGCTAAACAGGGAAGAAAACAGGAGAGAGGACAGCAATGGATTTCTGGCAGGATCAACGGGTATATTTCTAGACTTATTAAACAGATGTAACAAAACACTATTAATGGTATATTTTAAGGGAAATTCCAACTTTTTACAAAATATAATAAAGGCAAACTTCTTCATAAAAGAAACATATGCGCTTACTTTTTTGTAAGTGTTGCAATAAAGCATTGCAATTTCAATCAGTGGATCACGGGTGCAATGCTTCGGCTCCTACAGATTCATTCTCTCAGCCCCATGCTGGACCTCGGTATGGCCATGGAATGGAAGTGTCAATGGACTACAAGTCTGGTGATGTCACCACACTTCTATTCCATTGAGAACCACAAGTCGTTCTGCCGCAGTGGCTGATGAGACTTGTCGTGTCTCCATTCACATTTTTTAATGGTTGGAAATAAACACAATTGCTGTCTTTCTGGGAAAGCACTAGCTGCCTTGAAATAAACTGCAATGGAATGCATAGTAAGGATCACACATACTTTTCATAGAAATGGCTTTAACAATGTCCTTGTGCATAAACTGGCATGGCGAAAGCTCGGACACTAAACTCCTTGTGACCACTAAGACCATGATGGGAAATATTTCTAGTACTAGGAACATTTTGTTATGCACGGTGAAAGGCCAACAGAGAAGTGCAAAGAAAGAACAAATGTCTGTGCTCACCTGTGTACCACACCGGCGCGGTGCAGGTGCTCCACAGCCTGAATCAGCTGGCGGATGTATTTTCTGGCCTCGTGTTCCTCCAATCTCTTCTTTTCATAAATCTTGTGCATGAGATTCCCGCCCGTGCAGAGCTCCATCACCAGGTAATAGCTGTTCTCTGTCTCCAAGATATCCAGCAGCTGAGTGATGTTGGGGTGTCGGATCATCTGCTGGATCTGACCCTCCCTGCGCAGGTTCTTGGTCACATACGTGTCTTTCTTGGCTTTCTTCTTATCAATCACCTTCACAGCTACCTGTAAGAACCGAAACAGAGGAAATCAGATACTGAAGAGCAAAACACAGTCTCCCCCCCTATGTAATCTCACAGATCCCTACAAGTTTGGTTTAAACTGGCCACCGTGGCCAACTAGCCTAAATTATCCTGGTTCCTCCTTTCCCCCTCATCAATGTGCTAATGAAATTATGAATTGAAACCTTTCCGTTTTTATGACATACCTTATTATAAACCCAGTGACATCATCACCTTATTATAAACCCAGTGACATCATCACCTTATTATAAACCCAGTGACATCGTCACCTTATTTTAAAACCAGTGACATCATCACTGGATCTCTGTGCTTTTCGATGCAATGCAGGCAGATCATGGCTGCTTGGCGGGGGCAGCAGGATGCTGTACGTAGCTTCCTGCAAATAGGAACCTGTGGTAAATATCCGCACATGATGCTGAGCCTCCAAAAAGAACTGCAATCCAATGAATGAAAGGGGCGGGGCCAGAGATATCAGGCTGGGGAGGAAGGCGCTAGATCCTGCTGGACATCCACCAGCAAGCAAATGAGGCGGAGCTCTATCTGACTTGCTGCAGCTTCTAATCCACATTTTGAGAAGCTCACCGTGTGCTGTGAAATTTATTTGTATGTTAAAGCAATTTGGCTGGAGAAAGAGAGAGAGAGAGAGAGAGAGAGAGAGAGAGAGAGAGAGAGAGAGAGAGAGAAAGAGAGAGGGAAAGAGAGAGAGAAAGAGAGAGAAAGAGAGAGGGAAAGAGAGAGAGAAAGAGAGAGAAAGAGAGAGGGAAAGAGAGAGGGAAAGAGAGAGAGAAAGAGAGAGAGAAAGAAGGAGAAAGAAAAAAAAACACAAAGAAAGGAAAGAAGGAAAGGAAGGTAAGAAAGAAAGAAAGAAAGATACACACATATACACAATTGTGTCTGTATATTTATTGTATACGATTTATTTCGTTTTGCTGTGAAGTACCGCGCAGGGATTGAAAATAATATCTATGGCAGACAACCCCATTCATTCCGGTCAATCTTTTCAGGGACATGAGCTGCCCCCCTCGCTGACATGTCCAGCACATTCTTCCTGCACATTATATATAAAATATCTCAGACCACGTCAGATTTTTCGGCTCTCAACTTGCGTCTCATTTTGTGCTGCGGATAAACTCCCCGGAGATCTTACGCAAGTTTTAGAACAGCGCTTTTTCGTGGGAAGCAATTAACAGGCAACTTACTTTTTGATTCCTTCCAGGAGCACTTAAAGGACTGAAACGCTGAGGAATGAAAAGCAAAAAGCCTGCGAGTAAAAAATGTTTTAAAGCCGATCTATCATCACTTGGGAAAATGGAGTAATGCAGAACTGAAAGAAGAAGAAGGAACTTTTTCTAATGGGTTCTAGCGATGAATACAACTCCCAGAGCCGGTGAGAGAGAGTTAAAGGAAGACACAGATTAAGTCCTCTGGGTTTTATGAGGGTGAGGTGAAGCGGGTGTATTAAAGCTGAATACTTTTATTTTTTAAATATATTTCTCAATAGCCACAAAAGAAAATAAATCCACTTTATGTGCACTCATTGCCTTTAGGAACCCAGATATTCATTTCTAAAAGTAGCAGTGACATTCATCTCTCTGCTGTACATAGCCTGTGCAGAGAGCAGAGCTGTGGAAGGAACCCAGCAGGCCCCAACCACCCTGCAGAAGGAGAGAGCAGCAGGGACTGGTCTTTATAACAGGAGGGGGTGGAGACAAGACCTGTCACCTTGCAGAAGGAGAGAGAGCAGCAGTGACCGGTCTTTTTTACAGGAGGGGGTGGAGACAAGACCAGTCACCCTGCAGAAGGAGAGAGAGCAGCAGTGATAAGTCTTTATTACAGGAGGGGGTGGAGACAAGACCAGTCACCCTGCAGAAGGAGAGAGGGCAGCAGTGACCGGTCTTTTTTACAGGAGGGGGTGGAGACAAGACCAGTCACCCTGCAGAAGGAGAGAGCAGCAGCAGTAAGCGGTCTTTATAACAGGAAGCTCCAGCACAGAGTTAAAGTTGGTGGCATGGTATGTGTATTTCTTACAGATTTTGTTCAGTAATACAGCACTATGAACAGCACTGTGATGATGTCACTGATACCTCTAATGCTGCTTTATGTTTAATTATTTCAAATCAACATTAAATTACCTTTTATTCAATTGTTATGTGGTCACATGACAACTAACCCGCAGTGCTGGTGAGCGGCATGCGGGGATATCCCTGAGAGGCGGCGTCAGGATAGGAAGTGACGTTGCCACCTCAGATTCCATTCGCAGTGAGGGAGGAAGGAGGGGATAGGCTGTATGTTCATGTGCCTGAGGGTTATCGGACCGGTGAGCATGCACAGTGAGCGGAAGCCCATTGCATAATAATGAGTCGGCGAAGCTTCCGGGTGCTGGCAGCGCTTGGGGGAGATCAGCAGGGAAGGGGAGTCCCAGCACTGAAAAGCAAGCAATTTGTTTTAGGTTTGCATAGAGTAAGAGAAGGTTATAACACCTATCAGACTTTTTTTTTGCCATCTGTGTCTCACTGGGGAGACTTTTCTTCATTTCCTGTCCGATAGCCACAACAGGAAGTGAAAGGAAATCCCAAAGAGAGGGGAATCCCTGGTGGTCAACAGGGTCACCTGAACTAGTGTGCCCATTGGAAGATTTCCCACCTACTGTTCTGGTCACAACCCAGAATTTGGGATTTTCTCTCACAGTCCGTGATGTCATCAAGACAAAGAGATAGGGTGAATCAACCTAAAGGGCACGCAGACAGCAATAAAAACCTTGCAGGGTTCTAATCCCTCCTCTCCACTCCAAAGTTTTTGGCTTCAGTGGAACTTTAACTTAGAACAAATTAATATGGAATTCAGTAGCCAGTCAGTCCAATCCAGGAGCCAGCAGGATTTTTTCTTTTGGAGCTAGCTCCATTGACAACAACTAGAGAAAACCTTAAAAGTTAGGCGTCAGCTGTAATTTTTAAATTGTCCACCTGGCTCCGAGGATTTTTCCAGCCCTGGCTTAGGCAAAGAAATAAGGCATATTGGAGATGGATATACACTGCCTGGCCAAAAACAATCACCACCTGGATTTGGTATGATCTGGGTTGCTTCAGTTGGTCAGGTCTAGGTACAGCAACAATATGCGCCCAAAAAATGAGGACAGCTGCCAACCTGAATATACTGAATGACCAGGATTTCCATCAATGGATGGCACATTGGGCGTATTCCAAGATGACAATGTCAGAATTCATCGGGCTGTGGAAGAGTGGTCCAGGAAGAATAAGACATAATTTTCACACATGGATTGGCCACCACAGAGTCCAGACCTTAACCCCATTGAGAATCTTTGGGATGTGCTGGAGAAGACTTTACGCAGTGTTCCGACTCTCCCATCATCACTACAAGATCTTGGTGAAAAATGAATACAACTCTGGACAGTAATAAATGTGACATTGCATAAGCTTATCAAAAAGATGCCACGGCGAATGCGTGCCATAATCAGAGCTAAAGGCGGTCCAATTAAATATTAGAGTGTGTGGCTTTTTTTTTTTTTGGGGCCAGGCAGTATATATTATAGTGACCTTTTCATTTTTGCCTGGAGAGACACAGTAACGTTTTTTTAGGGGGGAGGATTTCAATGAACTTTACATGTCTGTATTCTGCCACTCACTGCCCCTTTAAATCTTGAGAAAAAAATATAATGGGATATAAAATATTCACACTGATATCTTGGTGTAAGTAGTTTGCAGTGATGACATAGGCCTCGGGCCAACACATTTCACTACAAAAACCTCTCATAGTAGTTCTGGAATTAGGATATGCATTCCAAACTTCAGTTCCACTTGAAATGTCAACATTGGACAGGGCTGTAAACCGCACACGCACGCACGCACTACAAATGCCAAGGAGCATGTGGTTCAAACGCTAGAAAATTGACTTAAGTCAGCAAATACCATTCTGGCTTGGCTCCAACTCCAGCATGCAACGGTGATTAAACACGTCCCAGGATAACAGGAAACATACACAGCCACTAATGACAAATCGCTTCTGAATATGTAATCTGTAGAAAGCTTGCCTTGGGTCCTATTCATTATTCTAATATTCTAAAACATATTTATTTTAGGAATTGTTTGACAGCTGTGCCTTTTCCTGGGGGAACACATGAGGAATAGATGTATAGACATCTGCTGAGCTTTAAGCCTGTGCCACAATATGTCCCGTCAGTATTAATGTGACCAGGAACTGGCCACATTAATTATATTAGGGTGAGAAAAAGATGCCACCAAATGCACCAACAGGAACCATGGGGTAGTTTAGGCCTAGAAAAATCCCAGGAACCAGGTAGAAAATGCTCCTTAAAAATGACAGCTGGCACCCAACTTTTCAGGTTTTCTCTAGTTGTTGTCAATAGGGTTCTTAAGAAAATCCTGCTGGCTCCTGGATTGGATGGAATGGGTCCTGGATTCCATATTCATTTGTCCAGCCCTGGGTTAGCTGGACAGGTTTCTGAACCTTATGAATCTGAGCACAGATGGGCATAGACCCTCCATGTCACTATCTGGATGCAGTAGGGCATTATGGGACATCTATATATATATATATATATATAAACACACATAAACTTATATAGAGAGAGAGACACCGCCACTCTGATAGTGAATCAAATACTTCTGTTTATTGACGTATTGGCAGCATAACATGATACACTCAATGCAACGTTTTGGGGTCTCGCAGGATTTCCTTCATCAGGCAGAACATGTGAAGTATGGGACATCTGTTGGCACATGGGGAAGTAAGAGAACTAGTAATCAAATGTAGACAGGAAGGCAATGCAAAGAGAATGCATGAGATCAGTTGCAGTGAGATACAACAAAGGATGGAAAACTGTATTTTATTGTAAAAAAAGATGGAAACTGTGTATGATACAAAGAGCTTCAGTTATGGGTTTCATGTTCGTGAACCGGACCCTGAGAATGTAACTGCACCCTTAATATAGGTAAGGGGGGTTAT